ATTTATTATTAAAAAATGGTCAAATTAGATTTAATGATTTAGATTTTCCTCAAGATGAGCTCTCTAGACATGTTTCTACTATACATTATATCCGCAAATTAATAAATAGAGAAATACTTGATGGAAGATGCCTAGTATATTCAAAAGATTTAGATAAAGAATTTTATTTTTGTTGTAAGATGTTCAATATGAATCATCGTACAAGTAAACTAGCTAATGAAGGAACAAAATATTGGAGAAATCTTAGTGTTAAGCTTCGAAGTCATGAAATAACTAATGTGCATATCACTAGTATGAATACTCCAATTGAATTAGAAACAAAATTGCAACCAAATAAAACAATTGATAAAATTATCCAAGAACAAACTCAGAGAGAGAAAGAATACTAGTAAAAATTATTTTAGTTGTAAAAAATCTTAGTAAAAATAATTTAATTTTTTGGTGAAAAAATGAACAGATATATCAAGAAAATAATGACAATTTTTTAAGTCTAATTGAAATAGTTGCGGGATTTGATTTGATAATGTAAGAATACGTTCATCGTATTCAATAAGATAGAATTTTTAACCATTATCTTGGACATAACATAAAAAATGAATTGATAAGTTTATTAGAAATTGAAGTAAGAAATAATAATATTTAAAAAGTGAAAGAAGTAAAATATTATGCAATCATACTTTATTGTACTCCAAATGCTAGTTATCAAGAACAAACGTCTCTCATATTATAATGTTTAGATATTACAACAAATCCAATAGAAATAAAAGAATATTTTTGTAGTTTATTAAAGTAGATGATATGACTAGAAAAAAACCAATTTGATAAACTTATAGATGTAATAAGTAATCTTGAATTAGATATTAATGATGTACAAGGACAAGGATATGACAATAAATCTAATATGAAAAGAAAACATCAAGGTGTACAAAAAAAACTTCTCAATATAAACCCTAGAGCATTTTACACACAATTTAGTTGTCATAATTTAAATCTAGTACTTTACAATTTGATTAATTCTTGTCCCAAGGTTATATCATTTTTTGGAGTAGTACAACGTATATATTCATATTTTTCTCTTTCCACAAAATGATGAAAAATTTTACAAGATAATGTTCGAGGTTTAACTCTTAAGTCATTGTCATAAACGCGTTGGAAAAGTCATGTTGAAAGTGTTAAAACAATAAAATTTCAAGGTTCAAAAATAAGATATGAATTGTTGTAATTAGCAAAAATTAGTGAAGATCCTAAAACAAAAAGTGAAGTTAACCATTTAATAACATACGAGATTAAAAATTTTGAGTTCTTATTTGGTATGACTAGTTTGTATGATTTTTTATTTTTCATCAACTTAGTAAATATTGATATTTCTATAGATCGATTAAAATGTCTCATTTATTTTTGGGTAAACCACATAAATGACCCTTGAACTTTACTGTTTGTTTTAAATTGCACCCTGAACTTTCATTTTTTTGATTTTACTCCCTGAACTATTTAAATCATTTTAATTAACACCTTCCGTTAGATTCCAGCGTTAAATAGGGAAAAAACCCTAGCGACAACTGCAAATGGCATATAATGAAGGGCAGTTTTGACATTTCACCTATTGTGTAAGGTAGGTGCCAAAATTCCATCCCTTGATGCTCCTGATGCTCTGTTTTATTTTACCCATGCTCTATTTTGTCCAGTTGAGAGAGAGAGACAGAGGAAACCAAGGCATGAATGTTTACTACCACTGTCTGAGCTCTTCTTCTGGATGCTATTAGGTTTGTTTGGTTTTGCTCGGTTCATCTAAAAGAGAGATTATGTATCTTCAGCATTGTCTGTTGCAGCTATCCTAGCTACTGTTGGAGAGCCTTGGGTTAGATTGGTAGTAATGGCCTCGTATTTGGCTTTGGCCATTACTCACCACTCAAAGAAGCCTTTAGAAGGAAAAGAAATTGAAGCCACTGCAACAAGTAGACTGGACCCGATTCCACTATTGTGTGTGGAATTGGCCATTGGTGTCCATGTTGCTGCTAAGTGGACGGGTTATCGGCATTTGACATGGATGATAGTTTGACTGACATGAAAAATTCCCATTCCTTTTTTGGTTCTTCTGCTCTCTTGTTTTTTCCATTTTGATTTTAGTTACTTTTGGATGAAATTTTCTATTTTGTTGAGGCTGATATAAATGACTCCTATTCCGGTTGTGTGATAATTTTCTTCATTCTAGGAGTTGGGAAATAGGTTGAGTTTTGTTGCCATGTCATGCTATTGTTGTTTCACTCCACCTTGTTTTCAGCAAATCTTAAATGCAAATGGGAGGAGCACAATAACTCTATTTTTGGTGAAGAGATTGAATGGGATCCCTTATCTGAACCCATCATGTGGCAATTGCAGTCTCTAGTGTCAAATGTGCTTATTTTTTCACTATAGAGATGCATTAATATCAATCCAAGACGTCTTCCTCTCTCCCACAATGACAGTAAACATTCATGCCTTGGTTTCCTCTCTCTCTCTCAACTGGACAGAACAGAGCATGTGTAAAATAAAACAGAGCATCAGGAGCATCAAGGGAGGGAATTTTGGCGCCTAAACCCTTACACAATAGGTAAAATGTCGAAACTGCCCTTCACTATATGTCATCTACAGTTGCCATTAGGGTTTTATCCCTATTTAACGCTGAAATCTAACAAAAGGTGTTGATTAAAATGATTTAAATAATTTAGGGGTAAAATCAAAAAAATGAAAGTTTAGGGTGTAATTTAACACAAATAGTAAAGTTCAAGGCTCATTTATGTGGTTTACCCTTTATTTTTTTGAAAAATATAGAGAAAGAAAATTTACAATTGCTATGATTTGATGTAAAAAGATTGCACATGAAATGGGCATAGAACTTATATTTCGTGAAAAACGTAGAATTCGTAGAAAGAAAATTTTTGATAAAAATGTTGATAATGAGATAACACAATTTGTTGAACAATCTTTTAAAATTAATTATTTTATATGTATAATTGATCAAGCTATGTCTTCACTAAAGAGTAGATTTGAATAATTTCAAAAGTACGAAAATAGTTTTGATTTTTTACGTAACTTAGAAAAATTAAATTCACTAATTGGCGATAGTTTAAAACAATAATGTTTGGATCTCGAATGTTTCTTAAAAAAAGAAATTTTTTTTAACAATTGATGGTTTAAATTTATTTTTAAAACTAAATGTTTGAAAAAAAAAATTTAACAAATGAAAAAAAAAATATTTCAATTGAGATACTAAATTATATAAAAATGTTATATTCTTTTTTAAATACATACATTGCTTATAGAATCTTATCAACAATTCATGTAGCAGTTGTATATGCGAAAAGAAAATTTAAATTTAAAATTAATAAAATCTTATTTAAGATCAATTATGTCACAAAAAAATTAATTTCATTAGCAATACTATCAATTGAAAAAAAAATATGGTAATAAAACTTAATTATTACTTTTGTAACTCAAAAAGTAAGAAAAATTAATTTTTAATAAAAAAATTTAATACTCAATATAGAAGGCCTTATTTCGAAATACCGATTTAAAACTTAAATTGTCTTAAGCCACCTTGTTCACTGCTATAGGAATCCAAATTCTAGACCTAATTCAGCCTTATTTTACAGTATATAATAGTATCATTGATTTATTAATACATCCAGCATTGCTACACCAACCCCAACCACAAGATGGGAAATGCCACCCAGGCACTGGTGACGGACAACCAGTGGTTGTGGCAAATTTGTGGCCGACCATTAGATTGTCCCTGTTTGCTTAAAATATTAGAACGGCATAACCATATTTTAATGAAAAATCAACTCTTCCAAGAAAGAACATTATGTGCACTATAAGCAAAGAAAAAACATTTTTTTTATGTATAAAAAAACAAAGGGGGTTGCCTAAACAAAGCTCTTATGCCAACCCATTTAATCAAATATTTTCCTCTCTTTTTTTTTTGGGTTAGTGATATTTTCCTCTTTTTAATCTTAGTAATCAATTTTTTTTTATTTTCTAAAATGTTCAGATGTGTTAAACATTTTCTCTTTGAGCAATGTTATTAGGATATAATTTATGGACATAATTTGGAGATATAATGAGTTGTTACAAATGATATGATAATGAATTCATTTAATGCTACAATGAAACTCATCATTAAATTCACTTCACTATCATTTCATTAGTGATAATTTATTATGTCTCCAAATTATGTTTTAATAGCATTAGTGTTTCTTTTTAGCTCAGAACAAACTAGTAGTCAGCGGCCAACAAGTTTCTTGAAATCGACGAAAGAAATAAACAGAAATCGTCCCTCTATAGACAAATTTCATTACAACTGCCAACTGACAATCTCATTACCACCTCTAGGGCATCCAAGAGGAAGTGTAACTACTGAGATTACTACCATGAGAACAAATCTGATGTCAGACAAGTCCCATTTATTGCTTACATTTTGACCCCTCAACTATGCTCATTTGTTTTTAAATTATTCCTATTAATATCATATTTGTCACATTATACCTTCATTTATGTGATTAAATTCACATCGTCCCAATTGTTACCGCCTATTATAAGTTTTATGAAAATTTATTTCATTTTGACTCTCAATGTATGTGATTTTTTTGAGACTTTGCCCAATATGTTAAGAAAAAATAGCAAACGTTAGCGAGTAATACGAAACAATTCAAGGAGTTGAGGCAATAATATAAAAAATTTAAAATTCAAAAAGATAAAGTATAATTAAATTTATAATTAAGGGGATTAAAGTATCATTTTTCCTTTTTAATATGCTAATAACCATGTTTAAACTTGAGATAAATAATTGGTAAAGAAAATATAATGATATAATCCTTCCACCACCACTATTAATTAATTAAAGTGACACTAATACCCTCAAACATTCATGAAAATTATAAGAAATCACAACCCTCTCTCTCTCTGGACCTTGGAACCCAACACGAACTGGATCTTCAATCTCTCTCCACCTTTCATTTCTCTCACACCTTGAGAATCTTTGCCGGCCTAATCACCGGATTTTCTCGAGCAATCGCCTCTCGTCCAACTCCTTTATAATCAAAGCTACAATCATGTCGATCGGAGTACCGGTGCTCCGAACAAAACAGTTCTCCGCACCGGCACCGAAAACCCGTCAAACCCACCTTCCTCCGACACCCAGAACACCGATTCCCCACCGGCTTTTTCAGCCAAACCTCGCCGTCTACCTTTAAGTCCTCTGACCGTGAAAGTTGAGACAGATCCGATCTCTCTGGCGATTTCGCTGATCTGGATCTCAGGTCAACGGCGCCGGAGAGCTTCGTATCCAACCTTGCAGAACTAGATGCCGAATCCTCGGTGCCGGAGAGCTTTGGCTGAGGATTCGATATTTGAGTTGTGCATAGGGTCAGGGTTTCGGGTACCTTGAGCTCTGTTTCTTCTTTCTCTCTCTTCTGAGCCATTTCTGTTCAGCGTTTCGGTTAGGAGGGAGAAAGTATGTGAACAAACAGCAACAAAATAAAAATATGTAGAGACTTTTTTTTTTGGGGGGGGGGGGGGGGGGGGG